TAGATTTTCAAACGCGAGATATACAGACGTATGACGAACTGAAGCAACAGTTGGAATGTACGTATCAGAATAGGCGAAGCACTACGCACCTACAGATAGAATTCAATTCGTTGAAATAAAGAACAAATGAAGGCGCGCAAGCTTTCGGAACGCGCGTCGACACATTAGCTATGGAGCTGTTTGAATCTATGACGGAGGGAGAAGGTGTTACGTCCCGTTCGCAGTCGCGGCGTGTTATTCGCGAGTGTATGATTCGCGTTGCACGTGCTCGAACTATTGCGCGAGACAACGTCGTATTACGGAAATTTTCCCGGGGATACCCACGACGAAGGGTTTTCCGACAAAGGTTGCACGATGCGGAAGGAGGGGGAAGAATGTATTACCCTTAAGGTAGCAGTTACGACATGGAGCCTAACTGTAATTCTACAGTTATGATTGTGGTTCCGTCTTCTATTCTCGCCGGGACGCTATCTGGGTTCCGCGAGTAGTCTTCGTATATAGACTCGCAAAGTTCGCATAAATCACCCGCCCGTGAGAGGGTGAGGCGGTTGCTGCAAGTTCCGCAAACTATCCCAACCAGTAATCCACCTATGGTTAGGCTATGTTTCCGGATCCGCGTCCAGAACAATTTAGAAGTTCGAAGTAACGCGGCGAAGCATGAAAGACAAAGAGCGGCTTTAGTTTCAAAATGAATGTACCCGATACCGACTTGACAGTAATACGGAGGCTCGAGAGGTATTAGGAGATTAACTCCTGGGAGAGGGGTTACACCTCTAAAGGGGATTGGGCACATCTATAGCTGCCACGTAAGTTGTATTTTAAAAGATCATGCGTTGTTCGCTCGTAGATGGTTGATGAGACCGGACGTTGTCGAGAAGTCGATAAATGTCGGTAAAATGAGTCGATGTGGCGTCGATACAACGTCGGCAGATGTCGGTAACGAACGTCGGTAGAGACCGTCGGTAAGTGGTCGGTAATCGTTGGTAACGAACGTCGGTAAGATGTCGGTGAAAGAACGTACGTCGGTATATTGTCGGTAACGTCGGTAAAAGAACGTACGTTGGTATAATGTCGGTAATGTCGGTAGAAGAACGTATGTCGGTATAATGTCGGTAATGTCGGTAAAAGAACGTGTGTCGGTATATTGTCGGTAAATCAAGAGTGTTCTCAATTGATTATTGTTTAAGTGACTATTTTGTTGTACGGATTTTACGAAGTTATTTCTTGAGCCACGAAGATTTTCAAGAGATTGAATTATTTGCGTTTTTCCGTGTTAGAAGTTCGAGAGTTGCACCGCGTGTAATGGGCGACCCTAGTTTTATAGCCTGACCCTTTTTTTATAGCTTCCGCAGTGACGATGGAAAAGAGGAAAAATGCGTCGGAGATTTTTCTAGAATGTTCTCTTCCACGTGGTAGAAGCGTCTCTGAATTTGCTAACACGCGCGATTCCTTAGGTTAACATAAATTTCACTTACCTTTAGTAGCACTTTCTTGATCGTGTCGGCTCGTACTTGGAGGTAGTGCGTGCGGCGAGGGTCGTTCACTGGGATGTTTGGCGGCGGCAGGCGTCGTGGTTGGAACGTTATTGGTATGCACTTTCACTGTAGGAGTTTGTTCGAAATTGAGAAGAAATTAATATAATTATTTCAGTCTGTATTTTTCTGTCTAAAAATCGATATTTTCTTTCGATGAATATGCGAAAAAACCGCGGAAAAAAGGCTCGCCCGATATAAACAAGTAGGCGATAAATCAGGATTATTTTTAACAAGCTGTCAATAACAACAACATTGCTTAACCGAAAGCAACGATCACCGCATTGATTATCAATGTAATAGACATGCGCCGTTCGATCACGTGGCTTCCGAAAGCCAATCGATCTCGCTATCGAGCATTTCGCGCATGTCAGGTGCGTGCTTGTTTCGCGTAAATTACGGGGCCTCCAATAAAGACAGGCGCCCTCGCGTCACCTTCGAACATTTTTAAATAACCGAAATTAATTGGTGAAGTAAAAATTAGTGGGGCTTCAGTACCGCACCGATAAAAGAAGCGCCCACCAAAATTGGGCGGCTAGTCTCTCGAGTCTCAGTACGTACAACCGCTATTAAACCGCTTAAAAATTACCGCAATTATTACCGCACACTCACTTGGAAATCGATCTCGGCTTATCTATTGGAACTTTGTAAAATTACTGTATCGTTAAATTGTGAAAGTAAATTCTGTGTTAATTATTAAAGAGTGAATGATTTCTATCGGCCTTCTAAGACGCGCTCTCCTTCTCGCGTTCGCGCAAACATAACATTTTGGTCCTTCGAGCCGGATATTTTATCAGTTCGTCGCGCCGGCACGCGTGTGAACATTCTTGAAGACGATAGTGAAGTGCCTGAAAAGGAAATACTGTAAGTGTCACATCATGGATGCCGCTATATTATTAGATAGTCAGCGTGAGATCCAAGTTCGAATCTCACGCTCGGTCGAATACCTGAAGAAGATGGGCGCTCCTAACATCACATCCAGTGCCGTAACTACCCGCATCAGACTTCTTGATCAAGCCTGGGATAAGTTCGTCATCCAGCACGATCAGCTGCGTATTGCCTTGAAAGATAAGTTCAGAGAAAGTGATTACGTTACTTCAGGACTCCATGATTTGACTGAAAATACGTACGTACAGCAAAGGAGCATCCTGGACGGCTACGCTGAACGCATTCGGTCAGCCTCGGACACCGTCAAGCTAAACGAAGCCGCTCCTCGAACCGCATTACCTCGAGTCAGGATTCTGCAGTTTTCGGGAGCTTACTCCGAGTGGCCAACCTTCCGAGATCTCTTCCTGTCTGTCGTCGGTGATAACGCCACCATCTCTTCATCGAACGCCTGCATCATCTTCGGTCGAGTTTGAACGGACAGGCTGAAAAATTGATAAGTTCATTACCGGTGACAGGAGACAACTACGAACGTGCATGGACGATACTGTGCAAACACTACGAAAATGAGAGAGAACTCATCCGATGCAACTTCGCCGCATTCACCGCCGTGCCGAGAATGAAGAACGGAACTGCTGACGAACTGCATCGCATCCACAACGCTGCCGTCACAGTCGTCAACGCACAGGAGAGTATAGGTCGTCCCATTGAATCTCATGGAATGGACCTCCTAAACTATCTTATCATCGAGCAATTCGACGCACACACTCGAATGGAATGGGAAAATTCCATATCCGACTCCAACAAGTCACCATCGCACGAAACACTTTTGGAGTTCATGACGCGACGGATGTTCACACTCAACGCCGTGCATCCGAAGACTCTCAAGAAGAACTTCGGAGAGTCTTCACGAACGGCGAAGACACACGTTGCGAAGCACGGAACTGACCTTCCACAATGCGCACTGTGCCATGAGAAGCACCATCTGATGACGTGTCGCGAATTTAAGACGAAATCCGCGACAGATCGAAAGGCCTTCATTGAGACGCACAGACTGTGTTTCAACTGCCTCGGAAATCATTATCTTACAAAATGTCAGTCGAAGAAGAACTGCTACACATGCAAGGCACGTCATCACACTTCACTGCACGACGCATACAGCACAGTCACCGCACACACACCAGAAGCCACTTCACTCGCCGCACTGCACAAAGCCAAGGAGCAGAAGGCTGTACTCCTCGCCACTGCTCGGGTGAACGTAGCCGATCGCCATGGAGCACCGCACGACGTCCGAGCACTGATCGATCAGGGATCAGAGGTGTCGATTGTTTCTGAAGCACTGGTGCAACGACTGAACCTGCCTCGATCACGCACCGACATGGCCATCTTTGGGATCGGAGGCGCACGACCAGGATCAACGCGTGGCAAGGTCACGCTGCACCTCACTTCGGACATCACGAACGCCCGGCTCTCCGTGATTGCGTTCATACTGCCACGCCTGTCACTTCTTCAAGGCTCCACGTCCAGCACACCAGAAGATTGGCCGCATATTCGAGGATTCCAACTGGCGGATCCTCAATTTCGCGAGAACGATCCAGCCGAGCTACTCCTGGGAGCGGAGGTGTGCTCCTTAATTCTTGAAGAGGGTCTACGCAAGGGTGGACCTCAGATGCCAATCGCGCAGAAGACATCGCTAGGATGGATCCTCTCTGGAGGCTCCGGCGTCGCATCCGCAGAAGAGCACCGTCGCACATTCCAGTGCACTGCCGATCACGAGCTATTCGAGCTGGTGCAGCAGTTCTGGGAACAGGAACGGGAGCCCAACGCAGTCACGACACTCTCCGCCGAAGAGCAGCAATGCGAGGACTTCTTCGTGCACACGCACACTCGCACCTCTTCAGGACAATACGTGGTAAAGCTGCCGTTCTCCTCACCAATCACTGCACTCCGCGAAACCCGCAAACCAGCCGAGCGGCTTCTCACAACGATGGAGAGGCGATGCGTCCAGGACCCTCGATTCGGCAATCTGTATCGCAGCTTCATGACAGAATACGAAGACCTGAAACATATGACGCTGGTGACATGCTCCACAACGAGCAATCAGTCAACGTACTTACCACATCATGGAGTACTCAAGGAGTCCAGTGCCACGACGAAGCTGAGGTCGTGTTCAATGGGTCGTAGCGAACGCGAACTGGAGACTCTTTAAACGCACACCTCATGACTGGAGCAAATCTTCTGCCAGCTCTTCCTAACGTACTACTCCGATGGCGTCAACACCAGTATGTCTTCGTTGCTGATATAGAGAAAATGTATTGGCAGATACTCGTGCATTCGGATGACTGCAGATTCCAAACGATCCTGTGGCGTCATTCAACTGATGATGAAGTGCGAGAGTACCAGCTGAGAACGGTCACCTACGGTCTGGCGTGTGCTCCGTTTCTCGCCATACGGACACTCCGTCAGCTCGCAACGGACGAAGAAGAGCAGTTTCCTCGTGGCGCCGTAGCTCTGCGTCGAGATTGTTATGTCGACGATGTGGTCACCGGCTCAAATACGCTGAACGATGCGATCGCACTCTAGATGGAAATTCGCAACCTCTGCTTGGCGGGCGGATTTCCGTTGAAGAAGTGGGCAGCCAACGACGAGAAGATCCTGACTGGAGTACCAAGCGATCATCGTTTGCAGCAATTGCCGCCAGCTTGGGAAGGAGAGAGTCACTCCACGCTAGGACTCCGCTGGCACCCGCAACACGACCAGTTCTCTTTCGTGTTTCATCCGCACGCTGCCATCAACCACACGAAGAGAACGGTTTTATCCGAAACCGCACGGCTCTTCGATCCAATGGGGTGGCTCGCTCCAGTCGTGATTCGAGCAAAAATTTTCATTCAATCCACGTGGCTGCAAGGATTGGACTGGGACACCCCGCTGCCGCCATCCGACGCTCGAGAGTGGCAACGTCTTCTAGAAGAACTCCATCTTCTAGATCAGGTGCGAATAAAACGCTGGCTCGGGACCGGAGCAGATAAGGCCTCGCTGCAGCTTCATGGCTTCGCCGATGCATCCGAACGAGGATATGCAGCCGCAGTATACATCCGCATCACTGAAAGGAACGAAACGTCAGTAAGGTTATTGATGGCCAAAAGCAAGGTAGCACCCGTCAAACAAGTGACCTTGCCGAGGCTGGAGTTGTGCGCCGCCACGCTACTCACCAATTTGACGCGACATGTCAAACAAACGCTCGACCTGGCAACATCAGACACGTACTTATGGTCAGATTCAACAGTGACCCTCCAATGGATTCGCGGTCACTCCTCACGCTGGAAGACTTTCGTCGCCAATCGAGTCGCTCACATCCAGACGCAGCTGCCTAATGCACAATGGAGACACGTAGCTGGTCGCGACAACCCTGCGGACTGTGCATCAAGGGGTATTAATCCAAGCGAACTAATCAATCACGCTTTATGGTGGACAGGACCTACCTGGTTGTCACAGCACGAATCGGCCTGGCCAAATTCCGTGATGGAGATCCGAGGAGACGACGTGCCAGAAAGGAAAGCCACGAGCCTGATGACTGTCAACCGGGTCATCGTCGAGCCAGAAATCCTGCTTCGCTTCTCATCTCTGCATCGCCTGCTACGGATATCCGCATGGTGCCGTCGCTGGCTGCGCGCTTCTGAGCCGACTTACACCGCTGGACTAACGTTGAGTCCTGAGGAACTCGACATGGCACTCTTTCGCTGGCTTCGAGAAGTGCAGACACTGCACTTCACGGACGAGATCACCGCAGTCGCAGCTGGACGCTCCGTCGCACCACGCAGCCCATTAGTCAAGCTGACTCCGTTCCTCGACGACCATGGTGTTCTGAGAGTGGGAGGTCGGCTTAAGCACGCCCTGCTGACACAAGATGAGAGGCACCCGATGATCATTCCAACCTCGTCGTGGCTGACTCGTCTGCTGGTGGAATCCTGTCACCGTCGGACGCTGCATGGCGGAGTGCAACTTACTCTGGGGCTGCTTCGACTGCGCTTCTGGATTCCACGAGGACGCACAGTTGTGAAACAGCAACTACATCGCTGCATCACCTGCACAAGATAGCGAGCAACGACGCTGCAGCCACCGATGGGTAATCTACCCCGCGATCGGGTCACTCCGACTCGGCCATTTCTGCGCACCGAAGTGGACTATGCAGGACCCATCCTCATCCGAACGAGCAAGGGACGAGGACACCGCGCTTATAAGGGCTATATCGCAGTATTCATCTGTTTTTGGTCCAGAGCCATCCACCTCGAACTTGTCTCGGATTACTCTTCAGAGGCCTTCATCGCCGCTTTACGTCGCTTTGTCTCACGTCGAGGTCTCTGTACGGACATATATAGCGACTGTGGAACGACCTTCATCGGGGCTGACCGCACTTTACGGGAACTCTTCGTCGCTGCATCCACAGAGGGTCGTGGAATCGCACACGTAGCTGCTGAACATGGCATACGGTGGCACTTTAATCCACCAGCAGCTCCGCATTTCGGCGGATTGTGGGAGGCAGCCGTCAAATCCGCTAAGTATCACTTGCGGAGGGTGATAGGTGAAACCACTCTCACCTTTGAGGAACTGACCACTCTCCTCACACAAATTGAGGCCTGTTTAAATTCTCGTCCATTACAGGCACTCTCTGACGATCCAGACGATATTACAGCACTGACTCCGGGCCACTTCCTGATCGGCGCGCCGCTTCTCGCCATCCCGGAGCCAGTACAGGAGGACACCAGTGGATCCGCAGCATCACGATGGCATCATCTCCAGGCGATGCGAGATCACTTTTGGCAAAGATGGTCGGGAGAGTACATCCATGGACTCATCTCACGACCTAAATGGTTGAAGGTCGATACCACACCTCACATCGGAGCACTCTGCCTTGTGCGCTCCGAGATTTCGCCTCCAAACCGATGGCCTCTCGCCCGGATCACAAAACTGCATCCCGGCGACGACGGGATCGTACGCGTGGTCACCGTTCGAACCGCGACCTCCGAGCTCGTGCGTCCGCTCGTAAAAATCGTTTTACTTCCCGACTTCACAACGGACGTAACGACACGCAACGCATAGACAGAAATACACGACACATCACATACGCACTGTAACCACTGTTCACATTCACACGCGTTATTTCACATCAAAACCGCGTGTCACTATTCTCAGCTGATCGCACCACACTGTCAACACGTGTTCATCGTTTCAGCTGATCGAGCGACATTCCACGTGATAATCACGTGTATCTCGCCGCGCCGGCGCGCGCATACCCCACTATCAATCGCGATCAAACATTCATAGCGACTTATTGTCAGCGGGTGACAAGGCGGGCGGGATGTTCGAAATTGAGAAGAAATTAATATAATTATTTCAGTCTGTATTTTTCTGTCTAAAAATCGATATTTTCTTCCGATGAATATGCGAAAAAACCGCGGAAAAAAGGCTCGCCCGATATAAACAAGTAGGCGATAAATCAGGATTATTTTTAACAAGCTGTCAATAACAACAACATTGCTTAACCGAAAGCAACGATCACCGCATTGATTATCAATGTAATAGACATGCGCCGTTCGATCACGTGGCTTCCGAAAGCCAATCGATCTCGCTATCGAGCATTTCGCGCATGTCAGGTGCGTGCTTGTTTCGCGTAAATTACGGGGCCTCCAATAAAGACAGGCGCCCTCGCGTCACCTTTGAACATTTTTAAATAACCGAAATTAATTGGTGAAGTAAAAATTAGTGGGGCTTCAGTACCGCACCGATAAAAGAAGCGCCCACCAAAATTGGGCGGCTAGTCTCTCGAGTCTCAGTACGTACAACCGCTATTAAACCGCTTATAAATTACCGCAATTATTACCGCACACTCACTTGGAAATCGATCTCGGCTTATCTATTGGAACTTTGTAAAATTACTGTATCGTTAAATTGTGAAAGTAAATTCTGTGTTAATTATTAAAGAGTGAATGATTTCTATCGGCCTTCTAAGACGCGCTCTCCTTCTCGCGTTCGCGCAAACATAACAGAGTTCGTCGTTGTTATTATTTTTAATGTTGAAAATGTCCTCGTATTCAGGATCGGCCTAATACTCCACTCCGAGGAATTGAGAATATTCCTCGGTCGCTGATTCACGATAGAGTCGGTTTAGTTTTCGTAATTGATTCTTCCTTCCCGCGCGTCGGGTCTTATGCATATTGAATTTGATGCATCCTCTGAATGATTACTCAAATAAGGAGGGTTGATTTGCGGCGGACCTCACTATCAATTCCTTATTTTGGCAAATGCTGAGAATGTTAATTCTAACTGTGATGAGCGGTGGTCCGCTCCAAACACAGTTTCAATTATTCTGAATTCAAACGCCGTATGACAAATTTAAACGCTATCGTATTTTATCACGGGAGTGGAAGTTTTGAAGAATACTGAACACTAGTTTTCACACATGAATACACTGATTTATTCGTATAGTAGTACAAAATTCGAGACTAAAACTTAGAATTAGAATTTAGATTTAGACTTAGAATTTAGAGTTAGAATATTATACTTAGAGTTAGAATTTTAGAATTAGAGTTAGGATTTAGAATTTGGACTTAGAATTTAGAAGTGCGACTATACTGTTCGGTGTCGCGCAAAGAACTGCCGAAATTCGGGACTGCTCTGAGGTCCTTCGTTTCGGCGGCTCGGGCCTGCGGCGGCCTGGAGAGGGGGAACTCTCCGGAGTAGGGGCTCTCCCTGTGGTGGGAGATCCTTAGGCGCTACGAAGCGCCACGCTTAGTTTCTAGGCGGAGTTAAGCGTCATGGCCGGCTTTGGCGCGCTTTTCAAATGATGTTTGATAGTTTTAGGATTTATTCCTTATAGATGGAAAAAAAATTTACATAGTAATAAGGCCGGACGTGACAAAGGTCACTTCCCCATTGAGAAGCGAGTTATTTTAAACACCATACAGAAGCAAGCCTTACAGAATTTCCAGATAGGACTACGCGACGAGGTACAACTACTTATTCGTTCTCGAAATTACCAAACACTGCAGGAGGCAATAACTGCCGCAACCGCCGAAAAAAAGTAAAGGGCACAACTACAACGCGATCTTGCAATTACACAAATAGAAATCGTTATAAGGGAGCGCCGTCGCGATCATCAAAAAATGCCGTACAATGCTATAAATGCGGAAAATCGGGGCACTACGAGCGAGAATGCCGTAACAGTAAATACGCGCTTCCGAAACCAGAGAAGTCAGATCGCGTAATCACAACAGAAAAGTTTTGCAACCACTGCAAAAAACGCGGACACAGCCGTGAAGAATGCTGGACGATAAACGGACGGCTAAAAACGACATCAAATCGCGACAGAATGAATGAGGAAAAAAAATGTGTAACGTTAATTTAACCAAGAGTCGAAAGAAGCCGAAAACGAAAAAGGGTGATACGGATTCCGAGCAAAGCAGTAGCAATTACGAACGCGACAGCAACGAGGGAGACTCGGAAGGAGAGACCCCGGCACGCGCCGTCGAGTATCGCGTATCACACCTACGACCCACACTACAAGAGAGCGCGGGTTTAGATTTAATTACGCTACCGATGCGCGAAGCTAGGAATGGCGCAGTTAAAATGCTATTCAATTCAGGGGCAACTATTTCATTGATAAAACTGAAACATCTAAAAGATGACGCACTAATTTATAAAGGAAAAATAACGCTCATTGGCATTACGGGACACAAAGCGCGGACAATAGGAAAGACGCAGGCGACAATTGACATAGGAGGTCGAAAAATAAAGCACACAACCTACGTCGTCAAAGACAATTTCCCCATGGAATACGAAGGAATTCTCGGGATAGATTTTTTGTGGAAACAGGGAGTTAACTGTAATTTCAAAAAACGGGAACTCACCATAGAAGATGCCGTGTTAAATTTACAACCATACGAAAAGATTCGATTACAGCCGCGCAGTGAAACAATTATCCGAGCCGCCACAAATAAAAATAGCGCAGGAATCGTAAGAGCCGAACAAACTGCACCCGGTGTGTATATAGGACGATGCCTCGTGCAACTAGAGGACTACGTGTGTCCAGTCAGTGTCATAAATACAACTGACGAAGTTGTCGAGTTAAGAACGCCGCTAATAACTATAGACGAAATAGAGGGGGAAATGAAGCATGAAATAACCATCATACGAAAAGAAATTCCGAAGTATTCGAGCAAAAGAAATCGGGAAGTATGACAATTATTACGGACGGACCATCTCAACGTAGAAGAACGACAGGCTATACACAGGATATGCGAAGAATATTGCGATTTATTTCTTTTGAATGGAGAACCACTGAGCTGCACCGCGACCGTGGAACATGAAATAACCACGCGCGCCGATTCAGCACCGGTCAACGTACGACCGTACCGCCTGCCGGAGAAGCATAAGGCAGAGGTAAATAAACAAGTTAAAGAGATGCTAGATGCTGGCATTATCAGGTCAAGCGTTAGCCAATGGAACGCTCCACTGTTAGTAGTGCCGAAAAAAGCTGACGCATCCGGAAACCCAAGACTAAGGGTAGTTATAGATTTCAGAAAGGTAAATGACCTTACAGTAGGCGACTCGTTTCCGCTACCAAACATCACGGACATTTTGGACCAGCTGGGAAACGCTAAATACTTTACAACGCTTGATTTAGCATCAGGTTACCACCAGATACCGATGGCTGAATACGATAAAAAGAAAACGGCTTTCTCAACTCCTTTTGGACACTATGAGTTCAACAGAATGCCATTTGGATTGAAGAATGCACCCGCGACCTTCCAACGACTAATGAATTCAGTACTGACTGGAATTCAAGGGCTCAAATGTCTTGTATATCTCGACGACATTGTCATATATGGGTCAAGTTTAGAGAACCATAATAAAAGGCTCAGGGAAGTATTGCAGAGATTACGGACACACAACATGAAATTGCAGCCAGATAAATGTGAATTTTTACGAAAAAAAGTTATATACTTAGGACAGATAATCTCGGAAAACGGTATATTACCGGACTCATCAAAATTAGAGGCGGTAAAAAATTTTCCGACGCCGCAAAAAGTTAAAGATGT